TAACAACGTGTGAAAAGGCCCTGGTGGGGGCTGCCTGGTGGGACCAGTAGAGAACGTGGGGTCTAAAGAGTGAAAGGACAGTGCCTGCCTGCCTCACCCTCCAACCCATCACCCACAAGCAGCCAGAAGGGTCTTTTAGAAGCAAAATCTGACTTGTCAGTCACCTGCTGTGGCTCCCCAGTGCCCTCAGGGGATGGCCTCAGCTCAGTGGCCTGGGATTCAAGGCCCTGCATGGCCTGTCCCCTGCCACCTCACCCCTGCAGTCCTCCAGCTCTCCCTCCATCTTCCAAATGCCCTAGCTCACTTTACCCTTTGGGCTTTCCCTCTTCCTTCCCTCTGCCTTATTAGGTGGCGCTGCCCAGAATTCAGGCGGCCCCGCCCCCGAGGACAGCAACCCGAAGGGCGCTGAGTAACCCCCAGCCCATTCAGATGGCGGCTCCCACTGGTCTCTCACAGCATCTCAAACATCCCCTCTTCCAGGAAGCCCTCCCTGAACTCCCTGACAGCCAGGAGCCTCCTCTTGGCTCCCATAGTTCCCCAGAACTCCCCGTCCCATCCCTGCCTACTCTGGGCTACCACTGTCTGGGAACAGCTCTGCCCTCCCATGGGATGGTGAACCCTGTGAGGACAGGGCTAGGAGCTGTCTCCGTCACCGACACCTCCCCGGCATCACTCGTCACAGGGCATGTCCTCAGTAACTATTATTTATATTGTTGAAATATATGGCATATTTACCTAGGCTATTTCCTGGAATTCACTCCTCTCCAATGACCCAAATTTTCCACCAGAAAAGATTTTCTGATACCCTTCCTCCCCCGCAAACTCATTTTTCCTCTGAACAGCAGAGGAGCCCTGCCTGGGGACAGCCACCAGCCCTCCCTCCCTCCCTCTCATAAACCCTCCAGCTTCCTCTTGATGGAAGACTCTCTTGGTTTCTCTCTTTGAAAGCAAAGCCATCCCTCCTCTCCCCTTGGTCCCACCTTCCCCTCACCCCTGGCCTCTGACACACTCTAGAGCAGGGGTGGGCAAACTTTTTGACTCGAGGGCCACAATGGGTTCTTAAACTGGACCGGAGGGCCGGGACAAAAGCATGGATGGAGTGTTTGTGTGAACTAATATAAATTCAAAGTAAACATCATTACATAAAAGGGTACGGTCTTCTTTTTTTTTTTTAGTTTTATTCCTTTCAAACTGGCCGGATCCGGCACCGCGGGCCGTAGATTGCCCACGGCTGCTCTAGAGCCAGCCATGGGAGGCCTCAGCTCCGTCTCTCCAGGGCCAGGCCTGGCCAGGAAAGGGACTCAAAGGGCGAGGAAGCAGGGACAGGAGTTGGTGTTCTCAGTCCCATGGAGTGTTGCTAAACACTTTTCCATCCTCTTCGACAATACAATACCTAAGCATTGGGCAGGGCTGAGCACAAGAACTCACCTTGGAGGCCTTTGGTGGCAAAGTGCAGGTCAATGGGGTGGGACAGTAGGCCATGTCCCTATTTGGGGGGTGTCCACCTGTGTTTGGCCCTCCCGTACGCCAGACAGGAGCTTTCCATGCCGCCCCTACAATGAGAGCCAGGACACTAATGAGGCAGGGAAGGGTGGGAGGCAGGCATCAGGAAGGATATGCCAATGTGGCTGTGAGACCGTTTCTTCTAGCGCTGGGGGACAGGGGGTCCAAAGTGTGGGCTCTGGGGCCAAAGGGCTGGGTTCAGATCCTGGCATGACTTCTTCCTGCCTGCACACACTTGGGCAAGTTACCTTTTCCTGCCTCAGTCTCCCAATCTGTCAAGTGGGTGTAATAATGCATTCCTTGTCATTTTGTGAGCAGATTAAATGAGCTAATACACACAAAGCACTTAGAACAGTGCCTGGGGCGTAGTAAGTGCGGGATCAGTGTTGGGTATCATTTTGTCACTATTCTCACACTGCATTTAGAGGCCTGGTCCAAGGACTAAGATGGGACCAAGGGTGCCCTTCGACAAAAAGCATGAACGCACTGTGAAAGGCACATAATAAGACCAGTCCTACTGAGGGTGATAATAGCAAAAACGCACCGATTGCTTACCAAATGCCAGACCCTGTGCTAAGCACTTTAGTGATGAATCCATTTAATCCGCCCTCTAGGACTTTTAATCCCACCCCACCCCCAGTCTACACTCTCCCCATAGCTTACGAAGCCCTATATCTGGCCTTTGTCCCCCTTCCTGCACTCATCTACTATCACTCTCCCCTTCCCTCACTACCTCTAGCCTCACTGATCCTGTTTTTTAAAAAATATATTTTTATTGATTTTCAGAGAGGAAGAGAGAGCTAGAAACATCAATGATGAGAGAATCATTGATTGGCTGCCTCCTGCACGCCCCCTACTGGGGATCAAGCCTGCAACCCAGGCATGTGCCCTTGGCCAAAATCGAACCTGGGACCCTTCAGTCCACAGGCCAACGCTCTATCCAGTCAGCCAAACCGGCTAGGGCTGATCCTGTTTTTATTTCCTTTCTTGCACTGGCTGTTCCCTCTGCCTAGGAAGTTCTGCTCCTGGATGTCCCCATGCCTGGCTTTTATTCGTCTTCCAGGGATCAACTCAAACGCCACTCTTACAGAGGGGTTCTCCCTCACCCTTGTATCCAAAACTAATCCCCGTTACATTATCTCATCTAATTTGTTCTGAGTACCTGCCACCATCTGTAATCATGACAGTCATTTCTTTATTGCTTATTTATTTTGTCTCCCCTCCTGTGAGCCCCAGGAGAGCAGGGATATTGCATACTACTGATTCCCAGGGCCTCAAGACCAGATCTTACTAGTAGTATACAGAAGGTGCTCAAAAAATGTTTGTTGGACAAATAAGTGGGCCTGGGAGGTGGGTACTAATATAAGCCTCACCTTACAAGTGAAGAAACAGACTCTGAGAAGGAAAGTCACTTGTCCATTCATTCCATGAACATTTATTGAACACCTACTGTGCGTCAAGCACTGTTCTCCACGTGGGGCACAGCAGGACTGCAGCAGACCAAGGTGCCACGGTGAAGCTGGATTCAGACTGAGCTCTGTCACACTGCAGAGTCCAAGCCCTTTATCTGACTGCCTCTGAGCTCGATGCTGGATTAACTGCCCCTCCCCAACAGCCCCGTGAACTGTTGAGTTACTGTTCTCTCTGATTCAGGCCAGGAAAGCACCAGGCCTTGAGTCCGGCTTTACACATACAATCTATCCCACTTTACAGATGAGGAAACTGAGGCTCAGAGAAGGGACAGCACCTGCCCAGGGTCACAGGGCAGATGGGGCCCAGACTGGAAACCAAGTCTGACTCCAGAGCTGCCTCTTCAGGTGCTCAGCTGGAGGACCACAATTTCCCAGGGAATCTCAACCACCAAGGACCCGGGGCCTGCAGAGATAAGGATAGCAGTAGCCACACTCGTTTCATGTGCATTTATCTTGTTGGGCAACATACCCAGAGCTTTACAAACAAGACCCCATCCAATTTTTACATGAGCTGGGTGAACACTTACTAGGCCAGGTCCTCTCCTAAATGCCGTTGTTATTCATTTAGTTCGCACAATCACCCCATGAGGTAAGTATTGTTATTATTACCATTGTACAGACAGGGAAACTGAGGCAAAGACAAGTGCCCAAAGTCACATAATTAATAAACAACTGGTTTTGAACCCAGGCAGTTTGTGCTCTTAACCTCAATATGTGCTGCCTCTCAGCTATTAGCTTTTCAGACAAGGATCTGGGACTCAGAGAGGTTAAGTTCACAGGCCCCACTTTAACAGATGGGAGAGTTAGTGTTTGAGCCCAGATCTGGTGGCCCTGACCGTTACACATACCACCACACTATTCTGCCTCCCATGGGAGACATGCACACTGGGGCCTCTGAGGTCCTCCCTGGGCCATATGGATGGGCTTGGATGATTACCAGAACAGGTTCCTCCCTTCTCACAGAGAATTATGCACAAGAGGGTGGCCTTTCCTCTGTAAAGCTGGAATGGAAACTTCCATTTTACAGTGAGAACTCAATAAATGGAGACTCTTAAGCAAAGAATTAAGACAGGGGAGGGACCCAGGACACCCCTAGGGCAGTGAATGAAGTCCAAACCATGGGGTTAAGGCTGTCTAGTGTTCTGAGGATTGGGAGTGTGTGTGTGGGGTCTAGCCTATAGCCCCATAACCTTAGGGGCTGTGTGTTCAGAGCAGGAGCCAGAGCCCCCAGAGATGGGATGGAAAGGGATAAGACAGGAGCATGAGACACATGGACACAGTATGGTCAGGGCCAGGAGTCCTGAGAGCCGATGGGAGATGGGGCTCAGAGGCGGGGCCAGGGGGTCAAGGAAGGAGGTGGAGCCTCTAGGCTGGTATTCAGTGGGGAATGAGCCAGGTCGGGAATACCTGTGTGGACGCCCCACTTGCAGAAGAGGCTACTTTCCGAGAAGCCGGTGGCCCCTACGATCTGCCCGATCACGTGCACTTCAGCCATAGCCCTAGGAGGGTAAAAACAGAGTCACAGCCCTGGGAGGTCAGTGTACTGTTATTTCCACCTGACAGATGAGGAAACAGGCCAAATAAGGAACAGTACTAGGATGGCAGAGTAGTTTCGCCAAACCACTGAGTGTGGGGTCTTAACACGATCCTAAATGCCTCTCCAGGGAAGCCCGGAAAATAGAGGGGAGGAGGGCCGGGCTGAAGAGCAGGCACCTAACTCTACAACTTCCAGCTCACAGCAGAGGGAAGCCCCGCCCAGGGCCAGCGGCTCCGCCCCCACCAGCGCAAAGGCTTCAACTCCGCATGCGTCCTAAGAGCTGGCGCAAAGCCCCGCCTCCAGGCGTACGCATGCGCTATGCCTACTTCAGAACCGCTAACAGGAGGCGCGAAAGCGGCTTCAGGACTGGAGTTGATGGGCCTGACCTGTCCCTTTCTCCACCGGCGCTGCCTTCCCGCCTGGCTCGCGCTCTCCCGCGATCTTCCCGGCAGGGAGAGACCCGCGGCGCCGCGATCCCTCCCAGGCCGCGACCGCCTCCGTCCTCCCGGGTGGTTGCTGGGGCAACAGCAGCCTCCTCCCCTGGCCTCGCACCCGCCCTGCGGGTCGCTAATTGGCCCTCGCTGTCCTCGGGGGCGGGGCCAAACTCTGATGGACGTTCTCGCCCTTCCCGCTCTCCATTTTGGGAAAAGGGTCTCTCCAGCCGCTGGGGGCGTGGCCGGGCAGCCGCCATCTGAAGCGCGGCCGAGGAAGTCTGAGCGCCGACTGTTTCTCCCAGCTGTCCTCTTCGCAAAATCACCCACTGATGCCTCGCGACCCCCAAATCTCCCCTCAACGGGGACCACAAACCAGAGGTGTGAGCCAGAACCAAGGGGGACTCTCAGCAGAGTGCATCCTCTTGCCTCATAACTAGAAAAAAATCCTTCCTCATTCAGATACCCAAGAAGCGGGGAGGGGTTTTCCTTCCTTTATTTTTAGAGTTCCCCGGGCTTCGTGGGACTGATGATCCAACTTCCTTCTCAGAAAAACTGCGCAGCTCTTCACGGTGCTGATTCTGAGCGAGGATGGGCGTGGGGGATGGGTGTGAGAAATGAGGAACTGAGGCCTCTATCTGCAGAAAATCCGATTCTAGAAACTGGACTCCGCCAGTAACTTGTCTTGTGACCGCGTGGCTCTGGGTTTCAGTTTGCTCATCCGTGTAATGGGCACAAGGAGAGGGACTGAGTCAGAGGCACTCGCACGTCTGACTTCCCGGAGCGGAGCCTGGGTCCCCTACGCTCCAACCCAGGCTGGGCGCCCGCAGGGCTAGAAATGGGGCTACAAAAGCTAGTCACCCACTCCAAGTTATGGGGGGGTGGGGGGGGCACATTTCAGTAGGATAAGGTTTATGGAAATGAATAATTCAATAGGATATTGCACTGATCAGTATACTTGAAAGCTACCATGTATTGAGTTATTTCTTTGTACCAGTCCCCCGGAAACTGATGGTTTTGCATCTCTTTTAATCCTCACAGACATCCCGACAGGTAGATAATATTATCAGCTTTATTTAAAATGAAGAAATTGGAGCAAAATTATTTGCCTTAAGCAAACTGATCATAGCTCTGCCTGACCCTGTCTCTACACTTTCTGTTCTTAGCCTCTCTGCTCAAGGAACAGGGAGGCTGTGTGTGGGTGTCACCCGTAAGCTTTCACTTCTCACATCCAACCAGTTATCGAGTCCTGTCAATGCTCCTTAAATATTTTTTAATTAAAATATTTATTTATTTATCTTTACAGAGAGAGAGGGGGGGGGGGAGAGAGAAATACCGATTTATTGTTCACTTATTTATGCATTCATTGGTTGATTTTGAAGCATGGTAGCAACCATCTCGGGTAAAAATTGCTGTTTAATATTTTAACCCCCCCCCCAAAAAAAAATATTTTAACCCTGCTGTTCTGGCTTCTGTACTTATCTGCTTGCTAAAATAATAGAAAAGTTATTTTGATTTTCTGAACTTATATAAATGATCCCATTCAATTGAATACTCCATTGATTGTGGATTGAATACCCCATTGATTGTGGTTTTACTAGTCTTTCAAAACACATTCCCCTGCACCTGGAGACCAGGACAGCACAATTACTTTAAATTGCTTCAGTGGCTCCAGAAAATGTGTTTCCGTTGACTCAGTGGTCCCAAGACCTGAAACTATAATTAGTCTTTGTAGATAACTAACTTGCTCAATCTAGCTTCTGTAACAAACTGCATTTTGCAAACCAGGTTCCTCATTCCAAACCTCAAGATGTAATCAATACCTTTGTGATATTTGCCTATATAAGTCTGATGTTTTGGCCACTGGGCACTGTGAGATTTGGAGCCGCTTCTCCCTTGCAGTCGCCGGCTTTATTGATTAAATAACTCATTGATTTGATCTTTCGTCCTGTGTGTGACTCGTGGGGTACATTACAACAATTTCTGTGTGTGCCCAGATGGGGATAGAACCCACAAGCAACCTTGGCATATTAGGATGATGCTCTAACCAACTGAGCAACCGGGCCAGCGCCTTAAATATTTTTTCTTCAATTGGTTTCTTCTATTGGTTGATATTAGTGATTAAGAAAAACTCCCCAGTTTGACTGCCTGGATTTCAGTCTTGGCTCTTCCCCTTCTGTGTGACCTTCAATACCTCAGTTTCCTCATCTGTGAGAATGAATGATGGTTGGATTATTGTCAGGAGTCAATGGATGTATGAAGCTGTTTTAAAATATGTTCACAGTTTCTTTGAAACTCATCCTTTCACCAGGTGGAGCCTGATTCCTCTCTCCTTGAGTATAGGCTGCACTAGGTAAGTTGCTTCTAACCAATAGAATGTGGCAGAAGTGTTGCTAACTGGCTTCCAAAACCAAGCCATCAAAAGCATCCACCTTGTTCTCGCTCTTGGATAGTTTACTTTGAGAGAGGTAGCCATCATGATGTAACAACAGTAAAGCCGGCAATGGGGAGACCAAATGCGGAAGAACTGAGGCATCCTGCCAACAGCCAGCACCATGTGAGTGACCCATCGTGGAAGCAGATCTCCCAGCCTCAGACAGATCTTCAGAAGACCACTACGTCTGGCCAACATGCTGACTGTAGCTTCATGAGACACCCTGAACCAGAACCCTGAGCTAACCCATCGCCAGATTACTGACCTACAGAAACTATGTCAGTGATAAATAATTGTTTTAACCATTAAGTTTGGGGAGATAATTTG